CATTTCTATCTGTTTACTCTTTTCTTGCATTGCTCCAAGTTGTTTACGTATCGATAATATTAATATTTCGGTTTTATAGACATACCGTTAAAAGCGATTCGACACTGTGTGGAAAATTAATGAGGAAAATATTTCAAGTTTTTAAATTTTACCGATCATTTTATGAATCTGCGTTTCGTGCAGATTATGACGGTATGCTTGCTTTATTTTTTTGGTACAGTTCGAAGTCTCGTTTTTAACCGTAAACGTCTGTTCAGCCTGATATTTTTATTATCATTTTATTCCGATTTTGACTTTTTGAATATTTTTTCTTTAATCTTTGTGACATATAGTTTATTTTAATGTGTTCATTTTTTTTTCGGATAAATTTTCATTCATTTTTTATCGTTTTCAGCCATTTTAAGTATTTATTTTTTATTCAGAAAAAATTCAAAAAACTTATTTTTAATTGAATTAATTTTAACACTTTCAGTTTTTTTTTGTTATTTTTGTCATTAAAGGGATTTTTAGTCACAAAAATATATTGATTACACTGTACTATGCTCTCATTGGTTGAAAGCAATAGTTGCGGATCGATGCAAAAAAATTGCCAAACGAATTTGAAAAAAATCAGAACAATTTTCCTCTTCATTGTTCTATTTAAAGGCCTCTTATTTTCTTTGCAATACACAACAAAAAGCTACTCCCAAACAGTAACTCCCTCTCTCTCTCGCCAAGCAATTACCGATTCCATCACCATCCCAATTCCATTATTAACCCGCAACATAACCCCTTTCCCAACATCTCCTTCATCTTCTCACCTTCACTGTTAACTCACCACCATTTCCGTCCAACCCTCCACTCCTTCAGTTACCCACTTCCGAATCACCACTGTTATCCCAATCGCACGCTCCCTCTGTTTTCTTCCATCAACACCATCAACCGCGATTCACCTTCAATTAACTTTCTCAACCTCATCAATTCATCAACCCAGCAGCTACACCCTTCTGTTTCCCCTTCATCATCTCCAACCCGTCACCGAAAACCTAACCTTCATCCTCCTTCGTTCAATTTCCGCTCTGCACACAAGCAGCACCCTTCCGATTCCTAACCCTTCATCACCTCACCAACGAACTAACCTCCGCGCCATACCCCCTCTCCCTCTCTCCGCCTATAACTTCATCTTCAACACGAACAACAACCTCATTCCAGCGCCATCCGCATCAACATACTCCCTTCAATTTCTTCACAAATTCCCTTCATTCCTCCGTCAAACAACACCAACGACTTTTGTGATTTCCAGCAACTCCTCCCTCTGTCTGCGCGCATCCTCCAATCCTGTAGCAGCTTCGACATTCGGTAATATCTCAACACCATTTCATGATTGTCATGTTGTGATAATTTCTGTGAGAAATAGGTTATATGCCAATTTGTTATGCTGTGAATATGTCTTGATAAATTATGTAAAAAAAAACAGTTTGTGGTAATTTTGGTTTTGATTTATTGAGTTAAAATTATTATGTTACAAAAAAAACTGTGAGTAAATGTTTTCATGTTGGACATAAATCTGTTCCGCTGAAAAATTGTTAGGCTGTTTTTGATTTATCAGTGTTATGCTGCCACCGTGATAGAATAGGTTGCAAGTGATAGAATAGGTTGCAATTTTTTCTGGACAACATTTTTCTGACTGTATTGAGTTTTGATCCCGTGATAAAGATTCTGCAAAAAATCTGAATTGGTTTCGATGTCAAGCTACTGATTTGAAAATCCTGTGTTAATTTCTAACGGTTGATATGTTGGTGTTTTCAAGTTATAAATGCGACGTTCTGAATCTATGATAAATCCTGAATAAAACCATTTGTTATGGTGTTGGTGTTTCACATTTTTTTTGAGTAAGAATGTTTGAACTCTATTTTGTGTTCATATCTAAATGACTGTTGCGTTTTGAATAAGAGAATGAAGATTGTTGTTCAATGTTTGTGTTCATGTTTGGCTTTAATTCGGACAGCAATTCAAGTCTTGATATTGCTACTTGTTTCGATGAAGGTGACGATAATTCCGCATTTTATTTGTGTGTAAATCTGACCGAGAAACTATTGAAGAGAGCATGCAATTTCCTTTTGTTACAAACCATGTTTGAATTGGAATTTTGAGACATAATAATAATGCACGGTTGCTGCCCGTTTTTTCAATTTGATTGATTATGACTTAATTCCAACCTGGTTTATGTTTTGAATTCAATTTCTCATGTTGCAATGTGAACTTTTGATTTTTGTTTTCCGTTGTGGTTGAAATAGCGGTTGCTTTTGATAATGTATGCAATGCTGTTTTTATTTTGTGTTTACATGAAATAATATCATGAATTCTTGATTTTTATTTGTCTAAATATTCATGTGCATTCGTACAATTTCATTTCAATTTTATATTTTGTGATTACTAACATAGATTTTTGTTGCAATTTCATTCATTTTAATTTTTATACCGCTTATGCTACTAACGAGTTTGTTTATTGTGAAGGTTTCCGAAAAATCGTTTCAAGTATCCATTCTCACATAGCGCATCCATAATTCCTACACTTTCTCTTTTACCTCTTTATTGTATTTCACTATTTTGATTTAATATTTGGTATTGTAAATATATACTTGTACATAATATTTTGGCTGTATACTTTATTCACTTCATTTGTAAATAAATTCAGGTTATGTAAATATTATTTTCATCGCGTTGCGATTTTAATTTTTTAATTCAAATTAACTTCTGAAAAATCGTACGGACGCATATAATTTTTCCGTGATGTTAGTTTTGTTTGTATATTTTATGTGATGCAGGGAATCTTATACCCTGAGCTTCATCCACGATTTCTTTATCCGTGATTTATTTTCACGTGTTGTACCTCTCGCTTATGATTCATTGCGCTTTATTCGCTGCTTGGAGTATTATCTTATATCTGAGTTTTTTGATGCTGTCAGCTTGTGATTTATTTTCACCCGAGGTTTGGTATACTCTTAGCTTATTTTTTTGTCTGTGGCTTTAAATCCAAAGAGATGGGAACACTGTATTGACTTTATCATGTCAAGTACTTATTTCTTATTCGCTCGGATCCTCTTTTCCTTATCTTTTATCCTCATGTACATAGGACACTCTTTTCTCCCATTATTTAATTTTCAAAACTTTCTCATCTGTTTCAAAAGCTTCTTGGTTTATAAACTCGAACCGCTTTCATAATAAACCTCGAGTTTGTCGAGTGCCTTTTCTTTTAAAACTTATTCTCTTTAAACAAACCTCAATTCACTTAATCATACTTTGATATTTCTTTTCAAAATTGACAAAAACACTTCAACTCATTCAAACTCTTTTGTGCGCTCGAGCACTTTTATCCTTCAAAACTTTTTTCAAGATGAGACATGATTCATTGATAGTCGAGCAACATTCTCCTATCCCCATGGTTATAAAGGTGTCGAATTTTCCACTTGAGTACTAGAGGCGTTCTCAAATCCTCACTCTTGCTGACGCAGAGTCCATCTTTCTCACACCTTGTGGGCGTTAGTCGAGATTTCTCTCCTAACAATGACGACTTGTCTCTTCGTTTAAAATCAACCAACAGACAAGTCTTTTCTATCCGAACTACGACGCTCTGACTTTCCCATTGCACGAGGGAGTACGTAGGCACTAAGTCTTACGACCCAAGGCGAGCAACAAAAAATGATAAAAAAAACATTTTCTTTTGTGTGCAAATATTCATTCATTCTTTTCTTTTAGCAAATAAACATTTACATGACACTCCTTTTAAAAGAAACCAAACAAAGTGGGTCCCGTGGAGTACCGTAGATACTTAGGGTGCTAACACCTTTCCTTTGCATAACCGACCCTCATACCTCGATCTCTGACCTTTTATTTCATTGTGGGTTTTGTTTGCTTTTTTCCTATTTCCCTTTGTAAACAATAAAGTGCGGTGACGACTTTATTTTGTTGAGATAAGTCAATTGATGGCTCAATCTCAAATCTTTACCGCTACATTTCTTTTCCTATCATTACTGTCGCAATTTCGTATATTTCTCGTCTTTGCCGATGACGGTGCGCGTGACAGTGTGAATATGGCGGAATTGGTAAAACAGAGAGACCGAGAGAAAATTTTGTTCTTCTTTTACATTGAGAACCATGAGAATCGTAAAATGGATGAGAAAGAGAGAATATGGAACAATTTGATGATGAAGAGAAAGCTTAGATGAGAAATTTATGTTTTATTTTTTATTTAATTAGCCATTTATTTAATCTCAGTCATCAAGTCAACATTTGACAACAGGGCAGATTACTAAGTTCAGTCAGCAAGACATGAGATGAGGGTTGAGTGAAAATGAAATCTATATTTTATAAGGAGGAAATTTAAAAAAAAATAAAACTAATAGGAAAGTAAACCAAAACTGACTGTAATGAAAGGAGGACAACGTATATTTATCCCTAAATATAATTATGATCTTACCCTTCAACTATGTTCTTCTTGGCTTACCTTCCACAAAACGTAACCACAATATGCAAATGTAGATTTTTAATTCCCTAAATTTCTAACTTTTAACATCTAAAATCACAAAATCATAGCACAAGCACATCACACCAGAATTTTACCATGTTGACAAAATAATGTGATTTGATTGGTTGATTGGGTTCGGTGAGGATTAATGATGTGGATCGTTTAATCTGTATTATTTTATTATGACTTTGGACGGTCCGGATAAGTTTCCATAATTGCTTTCGAGATTTATTTGTTACAGAAAATTCTTACGATTGATCGTATCAAAGATATATAAAATAGATATAAATATTAACAAAACAAATCTAAACAAATTATCTTCTTATTAATAAAGCAATTCTAACAAGATTATATAGAAAAATAAGCAATCTCAAAACAAACTCTCTACTCCTACTCCTCGTCTATAAATAGGGTTGCATTCATAAGGAAAAACTGCACGCAAAAAATCTAAAGAGATAAAGAAGTTAAGCTTTTTTAGAAGAAGAAAATCATCATGTCTCCATCCTTCTCTACACAATCACCATGTTCAGAAGCAACTATTTACTATGGACTGTCGGCACAATATCAAGATCAATATGAATACCTTCGAAGCATGAAGAAGTATAATTTAGAGATGCAATGCCCAAAACTCAAGGCTAATGATCGGTTAAATTTTCACGTCAATGTTGTTTCTCATTCTCTTGATTCTAATTCAGTTACACACCTTAACACATTACTCCATAATTATCAAGAAGTGAGTTGCAAAAGATTCATTCAAGAAGGTGAAGATTGGATTCATTCTATCTTGTTTTATCCAAACTTTTCATCTAAAACTCTTGAGGGACTAGCAAAGAAGATTCTGCATGAAGTTTATGAATTGTTCGATTTCAATCAAGTGTTTGATTCTGATCTTGGTAATGGAGTTGGAGATTGTGTTTCCCATCTGTTCACTTTGCATCTTAGAATTGTCGTGGAGAAATAGTTAGATATACAATGAGTATTATTTGTGGATTAAAATCTTGTATTATTTACTTTGTGTTGATTATTTTCTTGAATGCAGATTTTTAGTTGATATTAATATATCTTGGACCTGTTTAATAATGGAGTTGGACCTTATCAATTTTATCAATTTTCTTTTGCAACTTAGAATTGTCGTCAACATATACATAGAATATGGAATGATTACTTTTTAATTTTTTTAATTTACTTTTTCTTTATAAAGTAAAAGTCTTAGCAATTTATTTTAGCATTCTTTATGATTTTTTGATGAAAACTTATTTTTAAAATAAATTTAAATTAATTTTTTTTTTGAAAAAAAAGATTATATTAACCAAAAAACATATTACAAGCAAACGCGACCCAAAGGGTAATAACACCTAAGGCAACAAGAGATTTGCAATACTTTCTCTATAATGGCGGTAAACCCACGTTCTATTAACAATTTTCTCTATAATACACAGAGTTGTGCTTCTATCACTTTAAATCTTATTATGTACAACATATTTTCTATTCCACCACACTTCATAAATCGTCTCTCCATCGGCAATCTTCACAAATTGACTTCTCCAATTTTTGCTCTTGGACATTTTTATCAGCCAAGGAAGTTCTTGGTTCCACCCTTGAATGTTATGGCTGATATTCAACCACTCAAGAATATCACCCCAAATCCTCTTCGTGTACCTACGCTCAAAAAGAAGATGCTGAGTTGTTTCAGATGAATCACAGAACAAGCATTGCAGGTCAGTTTTGGTACCAAACTTAGCTAATCTGTCTTTTGTGGTCAAACGATTCTGACACGCAAGCCAGAGCACAAGAACAGCCCTATGCCTTGCTCTATTGTTACAAACAAGGTCTCTCCACTCCACCTTGGGGATATGCTACAAGAACTCCAAGTAGAGCTTCTTCGCTTGAAAGTGGATCGAATTCTATAGAGTATTCCACATTTTCAATGAGCTGACTTCGTAATGACTTTTCATGATGCTTCTAAGGATCCAAGAGCCATTATCCTTTATGTCCATACTCATCACATCATCTTTTTTCACATAATACGCATGGACCCACCGCATCTTCAGACTATCAGCCTTGCTACACAGATTCCACAGCAGTCTAGCCAGGCAGACTTTTTTTCCAGATATGAAGGTTAATAATATCTAAACTACCAAGCTTTTGAGGAGTACACACCTTCTCCCAAGCCACCGAAGATTTTCGCGAATTAGACTCCTTTCTAGATCACACAAAGGCCCTGTATATAGCTTCCAGCTTCTTGATAACACCCTTAGGCAGAGGGAGACAACTAAGCCAGTAATTAGCGCACCCAAAAACTATACTATTAACCAGCTGCACTCTACCAGAGTAGCTGAGTAAGTGAGAGCTCTAATGCTTAAGTTTTCACCAATTTTTTTCGCAAGAGCTAAGCACTGGTTGTTAGAGATATTTCTTCTTGTTAACGGAATACCCAAGTATCTGAACGGAAGATCACCCCTGCTGAAGCCAGTTATACTCACAATCACATATTGTTCACTTTCCGACATACCACCACAATACACTTTACACTTACTCAGGTTTACTTTCAGGCCTGTAAACATAGAGAAATCTGAAAATTCCTCCATCATCAGCTTTACAGAAATGCTACACCCCTAGTAAACATTAACAAATCGTCACCAAAACTAAGATCCACAAGCTTCAATTTCTCACATTTACTGTGATAATTGAAGTTAGGGATTTTTCTCAAGCCCTCCAATTTCCCGTGCAAGTAATCCATCACCACCACAAACAGCAGGGGGAAATAAGGTCACCTTGCCTCAGCCCCCTGGCTGCACTCATACTCTTAGTGACTCTTCCGTTTATGTTGAATTGATAGGAAACAGTGGTAATTGCCAACATCACGCAACTGATAAATCTTCTAGGGAAACCAACTTCAGCCAAGATAGTTTTCATTGCCTTCCAATCCACAGAGTCGTAGGCCTTTCTAATGTCCATTTTCACCATGCATCTATGCATCCATCCCTTCCTGTTATAACCTTTTATCAGCTCATAAGCAAGTACAATGTGATCTTCAAACCCTTTTCTAATCCACTCAATCTTATATTTTTTTCTAAGTATCTGCTCCTCCAAATCATTAAGGTTCAGCAGCTCCATATCATACACTTTCTCCTGACTAAGAAGCTGAAGATTCATTTTATCTTTGCTCAGCAACTGTTGGACATCATAGAGGAGACATCTTTTTTGCTCAATCTAACTCTTGATATTCATAAAAGGTTTGTGGAGCTCCCTAATAATAGGTTTTAACCTCGTGAGTTTATTCCAAATCTTGCAACACTGGTGGCCATGAACGTTATTCTGCCAGCTATCACTGATTTTCTTGTCATAACTCTCCATTTCAGTCACAACATTAATGAACTTAAATCCAGCCTTAAATCTAGCCCTCTATTCCTACCTTTTGATACACACAAGGAAATGGTCAGAGACACCAGGCTCCAACATATTCACAGATTTATCAGTATTTCCTTGAATCCAATCAAAATTTCCAATCACTATGTCAATTCTAGAAAAAATGGGCCCTACAGAATGTTTGTTATACCATGTGAACTTGTCCCCATAACTGTCAATTTCGAACAGCCCAGTTGCCACCATCATGTATCAGAGATCACAATACTCATTCTCCTTGCCACCTTCCTCCTAATTTTATCCCGAGGCCCTAACACATTGTTAAAGTCACCCATTACAATCTAGGGACCCTACTGAAATTCACCAATCTTTCCAATATCTCTCCACAAGTTTTTTCTTTGCTCAATTTTGTTAGCAGCATAAACACCTGTGATCCAAGACACAAAACTACCATCAAGTTTATACATCCCACAGTGGATTAACTTATCAGTTTTAGACACGAATTGAATATTAATTCTACTATTTTGCCACATAAACCAAATACGACCATTGTAATGCTTGCTATAGTTATCCATAATGTTCCAATTTCCACCCATTCTGACTCTACACTTCTAAGCATTGTCCTTTTTTACTCTAGTTTCAAGAACAATGGCTATCATAGGATGAAGCTTAAAGAGACGAGAGCTAATCTCTTTTTGCTTAGCTACTTTATTAAGTCCCCTCACGTTCCACGAAATAATCATGGGACCCCAATGGGGTGCACCTTAGACTCATTCCAAACTACTAAGGAGCCAAAGCCATTGCTTCTGAATATATTTTTCACTGTTTCAACTGGAAGCTTACCTCTTTCTCTATTGCCTTTAACAACTTCAGTCCAGAAGCCCTCATCTTCGTTCACTTTTATTTCCTCACTAGCATCCCCTGAATCGCAACTAGCCTCCATAACATCATTCATGCTCATTTGGCTTGTGTTCCCTTTTTCTGAGACTACTTTTGGTTGCCACATTTTGACTTTAGGCTTCTTATCTTTGGGGCACACAAGCCCCATCTTTTGACATCGTTCACAAAACTGAGGACGCCATTCATATTCCACTTTTTGCTTCATATCCTTTCCCTCGTATTTTATAACTATTTCTTCACAAAGTTTATGCGTAACATCCACTTCTACTAAGATGTGAGCTTACATGATACAAAGTTTACCTGCTATGCACTCGTCAGTGAATAACGAAGTACCAATGACACTCCCTATCTTCCCCAAGCTATTCTCACCCTACAGATGCACTGATAGCTGAGTGAACTTCACCCAGATAAGCACAATCCTCAATGTATCTCTCTTCATCGAGAAATCAGGCCTCCACTCCAATATCACCATAGGCATATTACGAATGGTATACAGACCTTTGAGCATCACTTCCTCACGCTCCTTCTCAGTCTTGAATTTCAAGATAAAGTAGCCTTCATCATTGAAGAACATCAATGGAAGCTTCACAAAATTCCACTCTTTAGACATGAAACTCTTCACCGCTGTCATGCTAAGATTACCCCCAATCGCATACATGATGAGTGAAGTTTCCTATAATCGAATCTCATAAGCTACATCCTCCTTCTCAATTTCAACCACCGTTTCACCATTGACAATTTTTTGAGCAACAAACTTGAGGGATTTACCATTCGCTGTCTTACGATTACCGCGGATAACATCCATCCATAGCTTAGCATCCTCTTGAATTGTTGTATTTCCTTCTCAATTTCGTTAGCTCCATTCTTAGGGTTTGGACTAAACCCTAACTTCATCACAGATTCTTCACCATTTTCCACCAACACCTCGTCTACCTTCACCTCCTCACTCTCTTCCAATGCAATGGCTTCCTTCTCCTTCGCAATCGCCGATTGGCTATCAGAAATTGACTTCGTCGGTGACAGGGTGGCCTTCAGTGGTCGCCCCCGCTTTCGTGTCGCCGTGCTTTTCGTCATTGACTTATTATTTACATTAATTATCTATTATAAATTTATAAAAATGATAGTCCCTGGAAATTACCACAACACCACAGCTGAAAAAATCCATTGTTGGTCTATTGTATTGGGGTAAAATTGGAAACTCTAAAATATCTTGCACCACATTAATTTGAATCTGATGTGACACTCCCATAATTTTTCACCACATTTTCAAAATTTTTTTCAAATAAATCCCACATATTATACTGCTTTTTAAAATAAAGAACCAATTCAGTTTATTGTGCAGGCAGCGTGAGAAACCCAACCATGGGGAATACCAATTCATTATTCCTTGTCATTCATTGTGCCTCTCTTCCTCTTCCCCATGCCAAACCATTATGCCTCTCTTAATCAGAATTCAAATTCAAATGGAACACCAAAAGTTTTTCACTCTTCCTTCAATCCTTCCCCAATGTGTACTTATGTATAACCTCCATTGCTTAACACCTTCCAGTCGTTTTCATTCACGCAAGTCATTGCTACAGACATCCCTTTCATTTTCATTCACGCAAGGCTCTCTGCGCTGTTACGAATCGCTGCGTGACGATGGCGCGCCCAATCGAGTATATCAGTAGCATTGACGATTCGAAGGATTTGTGGAAGGTTGCTGTTAGATGTAAGCATCTGTGGTCTGTTACCAGTTCTCAGAATAGAGAGCACTTAGAGCTTATTCTGTTTGATTCAAAGGTATAATACAATCTAAACGTTTCTGCTTTGCCATTCTGATTTTGTTGTAACAGTACTGGTATATGATACTGATTTCAAGATGTTTGTATTTTCACAGTTGGATTTGATTCAAGCCATTGTGCCATCTTATTTGGTATCAAAATTCAAAACACAGCTTGAACTTGGTTGTTCCTACATAATGCAGAATTTCAAAGTTTTCAGCAATGATTTCTCCTTCAAATCCACTGATCATAAGTTCAAATTGATTTTCTGTGGTTCAACTTCCGTCAAAAAGGTCCAACTTGCTGACATACCTCTGAACCACCTCAAGTTAATTGGAATAAATGCTATTATTGAGGGTAAATACAGAATGAATTTGTTATATGGTGAGTTACATTTTTACTGTTATAATAGAACGCATTGTATTGTGACTTCTCCGTTATACATAATTGTCTGTGGTGAACTTTTGTGCAGATATAATTGGTGGGGTTACTGAAATATCCCAAGCCCAGATAATTCCTGATAACAACAAAAGCAAGGTTGTGTCTTCATTAACTGATATGAGGTAGGTGTTTCATTTTGTTTGTTAACATTGATGTTGATAAATATAAAAGTCTAACATGTTCATGTTGTTTGTTTTGTAATTCCTGTCAATCAGCAAACATCATGTGCAATGTACTCTTTGGGGTAAATTAGCTGTGCAACTGAATGAGTATTATACGACTCATAAGGCTGATGGTAGTATTGTTCTCCTACTTATGAATGCAAGGATCAAGGAACCTCAAGGTATGCTATGTGACTATTTCTTATTATATCCAATTATTATATCCAACTTTAAGTGTTGTCATTTATAAATATCTCAATTTTCAGGAAATTATCCTTTAAATGTATCAAATGCTTGGAACGGCACAAAACTGCTCACCAATGATTTGTCTATTGAGGAGGTTAAAAACCTTAAAGAGAAGTAAGTGATTTTATTATGAAGTTATGAATTAGCAACCTATAATTACTAACAACCTGTTTTCATTCTGATCTATGTACATCAGACTTAAAGATGATCTGCCGACGCTCTCATCCTCGAGCATGCAAATGGAAACCACAAATACCTCTGTTTTTTCTGATTTGGACAAATTTGTATGGAAAGCTGAAGTGTTGAGTCTGTCTGTGTTTACCTTGGTTATTGGTAAACAACCGCTGATCCTCCAAATGGTTACTTATTTGGTTACTCGCAGGATCGATCAGATTGATCCTAGGACATAGGTTGATTTTGAAGTTTTGATTAAATTGGATATTGGTTAAGTGACAATGAAATAAAGAGGCTTTAAGTAAATTGCATGAAGAAGTAGGCTTGGTAAAATAAATGAAGGCTTAAAGTAAAGGATTTCGACAGGAAAGTAAAGAAGAAAGCAAGTAAATTTCTGGAAAAGTAAATGACTTTGATTAATAAAGTTGGTGTTTCACACATACATTTCTCAACAATTCTTTCTCACACGCTAGGTACTCGAATCTATATGAGTGACTTTGTATATAATTGTGAACACACGCGAGAAACTGCGTGACTACTACTATTTATACTAAAAACATCCCAAGTAACCGTCGGGCAGTTACACTGCTTCGAGATGATTCCACTTGGCACGTTCTCAACGTTCGACGCTCCAGATCTTTGCACGTTGCACTTGGTAACCGCTGGAAACCGTTTTCCCTCCAAACGCTTGAATTTCAAAATGTTCCACTCTGAACCATCGAACACCTTCGTCGAGAAGCATCTTCGATGAGAAACACCTTCGACGTCGAAGGCAACCAACTTCTCCCTTGGAAGAAGTCTTCTAAGTACCTTGCCATCTTTCGATGGGCATTTCGACGGACCTAGCTGGTCGAAAACATCCTTCAGCTTTAATGGCTGACATCAATGAAACAAGGGTGTCGAATTTAGGAGCCAACAAATTGCCCCCCAAGAATGCCTTATTTCGACTCTGAAAGAAAAAGGCATTCTTTGAAACGCCATTCGACACCTGTCTTTTCATGCTTAGTCACAAATTAAATTGTGCACTTTTTGTTGTCTTCTACCAACCACTGACGATCCCAAGAAAAACCATCATTTATCCGTATCTAAGACGTCACCTCAGTACGGCGTGCAGTGTGCCAAACGTCATTTCAGAATTTATCATTATGACAATTCCCAAAAACGAGGGCGCACGCTGCACCCCTCCATTTCTGCAGAACGGCTAAAACAACAGGGAGATGCCACGTGTCCCACTACCTTCTGCAACATTAAATGGCATTTAATGTCCTCGGTTTTGGGGATTTTCCCCCACTACTATAAATAGCAGTAAGTACCCATTGTGGGACTTTTTACGCTATCTAGCTTTCAGACTTCTCCATTTTCACACAAACTTGTCAACTTTGCAAACCCTTTTTCTTCACTTCGTCTTCATCCTCACCATTAACAATGCCATCTGGTTCCTCCAATGCTCCTAGCGCCACCGTACCATCTGGAAACGTCAAACCTAGGGTTTTCTCGACCGCTCCAGTAGTAACTCCCACGGGCCAACGAAGGGTCCCTGAACCTTTGGATATCGCTGTACGTGATGCCTACTCACACCACCTTATGATCCCGGTTGGATATTCCAACCAGATCTTTGCTATGTCTGGCCCATTGTACCCAAGTATTGCTGAGGCCATGAAGATCAAGAGTTATTTTCCGGTAGTTGAGAAACTCAAACCGGTTGCATGCGCCAAGAAAGATGCAGAGGATAATGAAGACCCTGCTAAAGAGAAAATCGACCTCCGTTTCTTCAACAAAGGTGTTAGGGCTTTCAGGTCTGGCCCCAGCCTTACTCCTGATTACGTTGCTTGGCTGGAAAAAATGGAGAAACGCCAAGCGTCAATCTGGAAAGATATGGGGATTTTCGACCTGGTTATGCTGTCGAAGACAAGTCTTAACTATTCCCCAGAGATGTTGATAGCTTCTCTACTCTTCTGGGACTACTCCCACTTCACCTTCCATCTTCCCTGTGGAATGTTGACTCCTACACTCTTCGATGTGGCCGCTATCACTGGCCTTCGACCCACCGGGGACTACTTCGACCCGGAGGAGATGTCGGAGGATCAAATTGGATTCTCTGCCACAAAGCCAACCTACACCACCTTCATCAATCACTACCACGACAGGTCGACAGATGCTGTGTCGGATGTCGAACACATTGCGTTTCTAGCCTTATGGCTGACACGCTTTGTGTTTTGCTCCAAGTCCTTGCAGGTGACCAAGAAGATGGTCACTCTCGCCACTCAACTCCATCATGGCCAAAATATCTGTTTGGCAGAATTGATTTTGGCTAGCCTGTATGAGTCGATTAGTAATGGAGCGACTCTTCTGAAGATTATCGAGAACAGGGCCAGTCTGCTGCTTGCTGGACCTTTTTGGCTGCTCCAACTGTGGCTCAATGCCACCTTCGAATCTTTCTTGCCTAAGAAGGTTCAAATAAATGAGCAGGCTCCAGAGATAGCGAACAGACGTGTCGAAGGAACCAGACTGGCTCTGTTGACTCCTATGGAAGATGGACTGGAGCTTCAGCAAACTTTCACAAACTTCATTCTGATGTTTGCTAGAAGGAAAGAGTTTGCTTCGACTATGGCTCCGTTTGCTCGACGGAAGGTAGGCCCAACGTGGTTCACGAGGCCACATCCTAGGACGTCGAGTGGTCCTCAGGTTGACGAACATACAACAATGTGGGAGGCGTTCCTCACACCAAGGATCATGCCTCTTCGATTCAGGAGCTCTAAGACTCACTTGAGTCTGATTGCATATCAACCAAACCTGGTGTCTCGCCAGTTTGGTATTATTCAAACCCTACCTTCTCCAATTTTTCCAAGGGAGAAGTCTATGTTATACTTCTGCAACGACTACATCGAAGAAGCTGCCACTAAACATATCGGAAGATATGCTGGTCGAACAGTTCTTTTGTTGTTTGACTACCAGCTCAACTTTCTTTGCTCACCATCCTTCGAGGAGTGGTGGAAAAGTTACTACGCTGAGGAGTTTTTCGACGAGAAGGATTTCGTGGATGAGCTTCAGAAATCTTTTGTCCTTGTCTTGGACAAAATAAAGAAATGTAAGTTCATCCTTTCGAATCACTTTGTCTTTCTCTTTCGACTGCTAGCCTGTTAATTATTTTATCTGCTTTCAGTTGTTCGAAAGCCTGCAGCCAAGAAGGCTGCAGAAGGCCAACAGGGAGGAGGCCCCTCAACAAAACCTCCACCGCCGGCGAAGACTATAGCGCCGGCGAAGACCACAACAAACCAACAGGGGGAAG